TATATCCTTGATTCTTAATGAATTATTTTATAGGCAAAATAATATATCATAAAACAATCTCTTGTCCTTCCATCATTTTCTTCTTTATTAATCAAGACGACAGAAAATAGATGTCGGACTGACTTTATCAATTTTTTTCGTTCTGTTGTTATATGACATCATCCCGCATGCATTTTCATGTTATGATTGAACAGATAAAACCAAAGGATACGAATCGTCTGTTATACAGATATCATCCTTGATCAAAAGGACGACAAAAGTGATTGAATGAAATATAGTACGGGACTACTCTTTTCTTCATTTCTAATGTTTGATGACATTGAACAATCTTGTTATGTTCGTATTCGTAAACTAATATAATTTTTATTGCTCTATCGTCTTTTTTTTTCCATTTTCTTCCGTATTCTGAAGTTTTAATAGACACAAATTATCATTTCGAACTATCCCGCTAATGGCAGCAGGAAATGGTAAAAGTAGATGTTTTACATGTGGAAAAGAGAAACGAGCTGTTCGATGTGAAGGTTGTCTACAATTGTTTTGTTATGATCATTTAACAGATCATCGACAAGAATTAAATAAACAATTAGATCATATTGAACATACACGTGATCTATTTCGACAAACACTTAATGAACAAATGAATCATCCACAAATACATTTATTAGTTAAACAAATTGATCAATGGGAAGAAGATTCAATAAAAATTATTCAACAAACCGCATCTGAATGTCGACAATTATTAGTTCAACATACAACGAAAAATGTTCATCATATTGAAGTTAATTTAGCAAAATTATCTGATCATTTAAGAAGAATTCGTCAAGAAAATGATTTTAATGAAGTTGATTTACAACAATTTAATCAAAAATTAAAACAACTAGCAGAAAAACTTGATAAACTTTGCAATGTATCAATTCAACAAGATCCTACACCACTTATTCATAAAATATCTGTTGTTGTATCTCCTGGTAAGTTAATTCAAATCAAACAATATGTCTCTTTTATAAAATATTTACGTTCAGTCGATTGTCCTTGACTCAAAAAAAAGAAAAGAAAGACAAACTACTTTTTGAGTACATTTATATTTTTTTGAGCAATAAAGGATGACATAATTAATTGTATTTTAGTTCATGGATCATCAGATATGGAATTTTGAATACTAAAGCCTTAAGTTTCTAAGATTGTATATATTTATCTTACATCTAAGACAATTATTGTGTCACTTAGTCCATGATATTTTCTACTTTTCATTTCCTAAGAGAAACACATTCGAGTCATACAGTAATTGAATAATAGGTTATCTTTTCATGTCGTTCTCTACAGACTAGTTAATCTTTCATCTTACTTATATTTCTCTTTATAGCAAAAATCACATCTTCAAAGACCATTCAAAACAATACTAAATGGGAACAAAATGGATTTACTATTGCTGGAGGTTATGGAGAAGGAAGTCAAACAAATCAACTTTATTGGCCTTATGGTCTTTGTGTTGATGAGGATGAACAGTCGGTTTACATTGCGGATTATGGGAATGATCGTGTTGTCAGATGGAAATTAGGTTCACATCATGGTCAAGTTGTTGCTGGCGGAAATGGTAAAGGAAGCCGTAAAGATCAATTGAATCTTCCAACAGATGTAGTTCTTGATAAAAAGAATGATTCATTTATTATTTGTGATTATGGAAATCGAAGAGTATTACGATGGCCTCGTAAACATTCTAAAAGTCAACAAACACTTATCGCTCACATTGCCTGTTCTCATTTAACAATGGACAACAGTGGTGATCTCTATGTCTCAGACTGTGAGAAGAATGAAGTTAGACGATGGGCAAAAGGAGAAACAACTGGTACATTAGTAGCAGGTGGAAATGGACGAGGTGATAATCTTAATCAATTGAATTCACCTGGTTATATTTATGTTGATGAAGATCTTTCAGTTTATGTATCGGATTCAAATAATAATCGTGTGATGAAATGGACGAAAGGTGCAAAAGAAGGGGTAATCGTTGCTGGCGGACAAGGTGAAGGAAATAATAATTCACAGTTATCTAATCCTCAAGGAGTGATTGTTGATCCGTCAGGTAATATCTATGTAGCTGATTCATGGAATCATCGAATTGTACGTTACGCACCAGGTGCAACAAAAGGTACTGTTATTGTTGGTGGAGGTGGTCAAGGACAACAATCACATCAATTCAGTTGTCCTTTAGGTTTATCACTAGATCAACAAGGTAATCTTTATGTCGGCGATTGGGGCAATAATAGAGTACAAAAATTCGATGTACATGTTGATTGACATTGTTGTTTCATATAAAACGACGTTTGATAAATAAATTTGTTTCTTCTTTTTTATATTTTATTATTTATGAATAAAATGAATAAAAATAAATGATTATACTCTTAACATTTTATGAATTATTTTCTTCCTATGAACGTACGCTCTAATTTATATCAGAGGACGAAATGATTAGTTCTCAGGTAATAGGTTGACAAAATAAGCATCTATTTTCAACGCGCAAGATTTTAGAATAGAGAAGTGAAATTCATGAAAAATCGTAAGAAAGACTCTTTATACCTTTTCTTTATGATTACGTTTGAATACGATATAAATAATGATACATTGACTTATTTCGTATATCAAGGAAGATTTTTGCATTTTCCAATTGATAACAATCGAAAAGTACTTATCATCTTGCATACAATAAAATCGAGTAATGTATTACCTCTTCATATTTTAAGTAAAATTATAAAATTAAATGAGAGACTTACTTTTTTTATACTAAAACTTCTTTTCAATCTGTAGACAAGGATTTGTCTAACGAAAACAAGTCCTTGATTATCAATGAATTATTCATTGGCAGAATAACATATATATATGTATATGATAAAAAAAATCTCTTGTCCTTCCGTTACTTTCTCCTCCTATTAATAAAGTAGACAAGCGAAAAATATCTGTACTACTTACCCCGTCATTTTTCTCTTTCTGTTGTTATATACAACGTCATCGGTATAAGTAAAGATTCAATCTTGTGTTCATTGAAAAAAAATAAAACGAAAGACTACGAATCGTCTGTTACAGAAATATCATCCTTGATCAAAAGGACGACTGAAATGACTCTATTAACGACAATCGGAGTACCTTTTTTTCCTCTCTTCTCTATCTCTAATGTTTCTCGGCATTGAATGATCTTGTTATTTTCGTATTTGCAAAATAATATAAAACCTTCATATCATCTATTTTTCCCCCGTTATCTTCCACACTTTCAATTCTGACAAGATACAAAGTACTGCCTAAAATATCGATTCAATGACAACAGAAACTGGTAAAAGTCGATGTTTTACTTGTGACAAAGAAAAACGAACGGTCAGATGTGAAGGATGTTTACAAACATATTGTTATGATCATTTAACAGATCATCGACAAGAATTAAATAAACAATTAGATCATATAACACTTAATTATGATCGTTTTCGACGGGCACTTAATGAACAAACAAATCATCCACAAATAATTCTCTTAACTAAACAAATTAATAAATGGGAATTAGATGCAATAAATAAAATTCAACAAACAGCATCGGAATGTCGACAATTATTACTTGAAATTAAAAATGAACATTCAAGTAATATTAAAATTAATCTAGAAAAATTAACTGAACAATTAGGAGATATTCGTCAAGAAAATGATTTTAATGAAATTGATTTACAACAATTTAAAGATAAACTAGCACAATTACAACAAGAATTAAATAAACCATCAAATATTTCAATTCAAAAAGAATATACATCATATGTGAACAAAATATCTGTTGTTGCATCATCGGGTAAGTTAATGAACCATATCTAAATTTAACATAAATATCAGATATAAAAATTACATCCTATAAAAATCTTCTTGATTTTTTGATTTTGTAATATGGTGTTACCTTAAACTTTATGTTCATATCAAATCTTTTCTTTTTTTTTTTGCTTATGATATTTTCTAGAAGCTGATAGTTCATTTTTAAATATTCATAATAATACAAAATGGAAACAAAGTGGAACAACTATTATTGGAGTAAGTTTACCAGGCAATCAACCAGGTCAACTCTATGATCCACGAGGTATTTGTATTCATGATGCTGATGAACAAATGATTTATATTGCTGATTTGGGAAATCATCGCATTATGGAATGGAAATGTAGTACAAATACTGGTCAAGTTGTTGCTGGTGGAAATGGACAAGGAAATCGTATGGATCAATTGGATCGTCCAACAAATGTTATTATTGATAAAATGGATGATTCACTTATTATTTCTGATTGGGGAAATAGCCGAGTCGTAAGATGGTCTCTTCGAAATAATGAAGATCAACAAACAATTATTTTTAATATTGATTGTTGTGGTTTAACAATGGATCATAATGGTGATTTATATGTTTCTGATTTAGTAAAGAATGAAGTCAGACGATGGAAAGATGGAGATACAAATGGTATAGTCGTTGCTGGTGGAAATGGAGAAGGAGATACACTTAATCAACTTAATTATCCTAGTTATATTTTTGTTGATGAAGATCAATCAGTTTATGTATCGGATACTTTAAATCATCGTGTAATGAAATGGCCAAAAGGTGCAAAAGAAGGTATGATTGTTGCTGGTGGACAAGGACAAGGAAATAGTCTCTCACAATTATCTTGTCCTATGGGAGTTATTGTTGATTATTTGGGTAATCTTTATGTTGCTGATTTTTATAATCATCGAATAGTACGTTGGGCACCAGGTGCAAGAAAAGGTAGTATTGTCGTTGGTGGAAATGGTCAAGGAACACAACCAGATCAACTCAATGGTCCGACTGGTTTATCAATGGATCAACATGGTAATCTCTATGTTGTTAATAGAGGTAATCATGACGTACATAAATTTGATATTGATTTAAATTAACATCATTTGTTGTAATAAACTGACATTTAATGAATAAATTTGGTTTGTATTAAATTTTTTTTGTTCATTTCTTTTAATTTTATTTAACAAAAAAATGAATACAAATAAAGAATTTGATATTATTATGAATTGATTGTATTGATCTATGTAAAAGACAAAATTATGTTTAGTTCGATTATTTTTGAACATGTGAAATTTTGACCTTATACGAAGGTTAGCGTCAGACTGACTGGATATTTCAGATAAAAAATAAAGTAAACACACTAATAATATTTCATTTATTTAGACCGACCTTCGATAGTTCGTAGTGAAAAGGTAACTGTTTGTTAAATGTCTAGTCTATTTTTTTTGATTTAGAATAAATTGAGTCAGTCTGATGATAACCTTCGTCAAAGGTCGATATTTCATGTATATGAAATGAATTTGATTTATTCTCTATTAATCGATAATTAATGACTAATCGTATTAAAGTTCAAAGTAGTTTAATATGAACATTGACTAATACGTTTTTTTTCAATCTGTAGACCAGGATTTGTCTAACAAAAATAAGTCCTTGGTTATCAATGAATTATTCATTGGCAAAATAAAATATATGATAAAAAAATCTCTTGTCCTTCCGTTACTTTCTCTTCCTATTAATTAAGACAAGACAAGACAAGTAGTAGTAGTCACTCATGCTGTCATTTTTGTCGTTCTGTTGTTATACGACATCATTCATGTGAGAAAAGATTCAATCTTATGTTCATTGAAGAAATAAAAAAAAAGAGAGAAAAGAATATCAATCGTCTGGTACTTGGATAATATCCTTGATCAAAAGGACGACCAAAGCGATTCAATGAGTGAATACATTACTGCTCTTTTCTCCTTCCCCCCCGTAATGTTTCTTGACATTGAATGATCTTGTTATTTTTGTATTTGCAAAATACTATAAAACCTTCCTAACGTCTATTTTCCTACATTCGTAGTTCTTACTCGACACACATCATCACTCAGGTATTGTGCATACATGGCAGCAGTGAATAATAAGACACGATGTATTACATGTGACAAAGAAAAACGAACGGTCAGATGTGAGGGATGTCTACAATTATTTTGTTATGATCATTTAACGGACCATCGACAAGAATTAAATAAACAATTAGATCATATTCAACTTAATCGTGATGTCTTTCGACAAACACTTAATGAACAAATGAACCATCCACAAGTACATTTATTAGTTAAACAAATTAATACTTGGGAATTAGATTCAATTAAAATTATTCAACAAACAGCATCGGAATGTCGACAATTATTAATTGAACATAGAAATGAACATTTTAATCAAATTGAAGTTAATTTAAATAAATTAACTGATGAACTAAGAGATATTCGTCAAGAAAATGATTTCAATGAAATTGATTTACAACAATTTAATGAAAAATTAAAAACATTAGCTGAAGAACTTGATAAATTATCGAATTTTTCATTTCAACATGATTCTACACCACTTATTCATAAAGTTTCGGTTGTTGTTGCATCTTCAGGTAAGTTTCATAGTTATATATATAAATATAAATTAATCTGATTCTTTTTTTAGAAGCTATTAGTTCATCGAAAAATATTAACAATAATACGAAATGGAAACATAATGGATCAACGATTGCTGGAGGTTATGGAGAAGGTAGTCAAACAAATCAACTTTATTGGCCTTATGGTATTTATGTTGATGATGATGAACAAATGATTTATATTGCTGATTATGGGAATGATCGTGTTGTTAAATGGAAACATGGTGCCTATTATGGTCAAGTTGTAGCTGGTGGCAATGGACGTGGAACTCGAAAAGATCAATTGAATCTTCCAACAGATGTAATTCTTGATAAAAAGAATGATTCATTTGTTATTTGTGATTATGGAAATCGACGTGTCGTACGATGGCCCCGTAAACATGGTAAAAATCAACAAACAATCATTTCTCATGTTGCCTGTTCACGTTTAACAATGGATAATAATGGTGATCTTTATGTTTCTGATTGGGAGAAGAATGAAGTTAGACGATGGACAAAAGGAGAAACAACTGGTACATTAGTTGCAGGTGGAAATGGAAAAGGAGAAGATCTCAATCAATTGAATTCTCCTGGTTATATTTATGTTGATGATAACCTGTCAGTTTATGTTTCAGATTCGAATAATAATCGTGTGATGAAATGGACCAAAGGTGCAAAAGAAGGCGTCGTTGTTGCTGGTGGGCATGGCGAAGGTAATACTCTTCAACAATTATCTCATCCTCAAGGATTGATCGTCGATCATTTGGGTAATATTTATGTAGCTGACTCTGGTAATGATCGAATCATGCGCTGGTCCGAAGGATCTCGAGAAGGTAGTATTGTTGTTGGTGGAAATGGACAAGGTAAACAACCGGATCAATTCAATTATCCTGATGGTTTATCATTAGATCAACTAGGTAATCTCTATGTTGTTGATTGGGGCAATAATCGCGTGCAAAGATTTGTTCTTGACATTGATTGAAATTGTTTTTTTTTTCTTGTGATAAAATGATTTTCACTTAATAATTTTATTTTTGTCACAGTTTTATTTCTTTTTTATTTTCCTTAAGAATAAAATGAATAATACATTTTCATTTTCAATTTCTTATATGATTCCCGTATTCCGAAGCAAACGGGAGTGAACTCGGGTGATCTTAGCCGAAAAGGCCGATAAGCGATAACTAAATACACAAATTCAAGTTTCTTTTCTTTCCTATGGACATACACATTAATGATCTTTGAAGTACTATATTATCATTCATTTTTCATAAAAGAAAAGTGTTGCTCTGGCAGACTAATGTTACCATCAACCTGCACAATTTCGTCATCGCAACATGTATTTGATCGGGTGGGATCATTTACCTCTTGGTATAAAGTTGTAATAAGCAACTTTTTTTGATACTATGTAGATCACCATGTGCGTTTTGTCATTGCATATATCATGTGAAAAGAATAGAAAGAGAAAAGTGAAATGTGTAAGGACACTGTAGATGTCGTGCTTCACACAGTATCGAGAAAAGTTGCTTATTACAACTTACCAAGAGGTAAATGATCCTAGCTGATCAAAAATATGTTGCGATGACGAAATTGTGCGGATTGGTGGTAACACACTAGTCTGCCAGAGCAACTTTTCAAAAAAAATAAAAATGAAACATATTTCTTTAACTTAAAGATTTTGTACGGTTAGCTAAAACAATGAACTATGAGAAGATTATGAATGAAACATATCATGCTTGATAAATAAATAAGTTGCTGCCATGATGAATATTTTATCTTTTAAATTAATTGAACTAAGAGAACATATAATTCATATTCTTATATTTGTTAAACATATCAGTTTGTGTAAGTTGTTTTAAATGCATGTTCCTATGGATAGATTTTAATGAAAAATAATAAAATGTGATAAAAAAATATTTATCATCCATACATTCATTGTTGTACGAAAAAGACCAACTGTGCCAAACGAATAGGTAAATGCTAAAGAATATGAAAATATTTTAATTTTATCTTACAACAGATGTAGCATTAAATACAGAACTAAAATCAACATCAATAACTTGTCCAGATAATCTATCAATAAAAAAATTAAATAAATAGATAATTATTTAAAAATATATTTTGATAAAACTTCCTTTGTAGAAAGCAATACAATATTTCACTATTCTAAAAGCTAGATTAGCTTTATTGTTTGTTTTCTCTCGAAAATATTATGCTAGTTAATTCATTGGTTCAAAAATGGAAAAACGTAATATAATGAAGAAAAGTACAAAGTAATAAATTAACACATGTGTATTATAGAATTAGTTAGAACAAAGTTATATTTTTGTGTATGTTATGTACATTAAATTAATTCAAGTTCATTTTGTATCAATGGCAAAAATTTATTAAACTTTATTTTATTGTTCACACTGAAATTACATCTTCTTAACTTATGTAATTAAAACTATGCCATAATAACAAGTCTTTTAAACTTAGTTTTTTTGCTTAAATCATAGTTTTGTATATCACTTATACATGTGAACTATGTCTTATATAATGAAAAAAGATGATTAAGGAATTTCTCACTTCATATATCACCGGCCCTGTGGCCTAATGGCTATGGCGTCTGACTTCGAATCAGAAGATTGCAGGTTCGAGTCCTGCCAGGGTCGCTTTTCTTTTTTTGTTTTTTTCCTCGAATGTTCATAATAAATTCATTTGTTTACTTATATTTGTTTATTACAATACAAAACCAAAGTAGTGTTTGTTTTACTTTTATTTTGCATTTTATTATATGGTAAAGAACATATCGAAGCAGTATGTCATACTAATAGCTCTCTTAAGAACTAGAATCAAACTGCCTGGATCTATCATCATTTCTTCTTCTTTAAATACGTTTCGTTTAATGTCTAATTATCTAGAAAGACCTTATTTATCGTGCAATGTTTTCTGGAGAAATAATTATTAATCCATACAAAAAACGTGATGTTCAAGTAGTGACTTTTTTCGAGTTGCATATTTTCCAGGTATTTCAATAAAAATATAGATTATCGTCTTAATACACGATGTTGTTGTTGAAATGTTAATAAAAACCATGTCGAATAATCATTTATATTTGATTTATCTTGTGTAACTGTTTTTTATTTTATACTAACATTTGTAAGAATTAATTTAACACCAGTTAATAATACAGTAGAAAATAACTCATTTTCTTTACTAAATAAAGTATCAAGATCTTTTTCAATTGATATCGTATTGAACTTAATCGAGATTTTAATAATCGTTGATCTATTCCCTCATTGAAAACATTATTTTGTGCCATTATTATTTTTATCGAATGCTCTTCATTTATTTCATCATCTGCTGTATCTTCAATTAATGCTAGTTTATCATCATCTTTTCTATACAAAGAAATTTCTAAAGAAATTTGAGAAATAGAATTTGATTGACTTTTATTTAAATCATTAAGCTATTGATTAACGTCAATTGATTTAAAATCAAAAACAGATAGCTGATCAGTTAAACTACTATCAAACGGGTTTTGAGATGATAAATAAAATGGTGGAGTCGATGTACATTTTTGATTATCTTGGGTGTGGGTGTTGGTGTCGATAAATGAACATCGATCAAGCGTCACTCCTACACTTACACCCACACCCACCTATCTTTCTAAAACTCATACTATATTAAACAACGTGTAGCTATTTATATTTATTTTCAGTTTTTTTTGTAATTTATTAATTTATAAATTAAAATAAATCATAATTAATTTATATGTAATTTATATGTTGAACAATATTTTTATTGTATAACACATCCCAATCGATTAAAAGATTATGCTCATTTTGTACGCCATAAAATTCTCTTTAGACTACATGAGCTCAATTATTACTGTGAATACGTTGACAGGAAACTGGCTTACGTAAAAGAATTATTTGGTTTCTGACACCTTAAAATAAAAGCACTAAATAACAAAACAAATCTGAAATATGATAAAATGTAAATTGTTTCTTTAATCTGAATTATATGGTGTATTATCATTTGATTCAAAATATTTTGGTTCATAATTAATATAAACATTTGATGTTAATGTATTGTTTTGAAACCATGTATAGATTCGTTTAGTAACGCATTTGATTTTTATTTTTGATAATTTAGAACATTTTGTTAATATTAATAAAATATCATCAACATTATCGATATCACACTGAAGTTCTTCGATATTTGAAAATGTTTTACAAAACCAATCTAAATCTTGAATTACAATATAATGATCCCAAGATGGATAAGTAAAATCCAATATTTTTATTTTTTTACTCAAAAGTTCACAGAGTTCGTGATGAGTATAAAATGAACTTCTTATTTGTTTCTTTAATATTAATGATGATATATTTGGCATTTGCTTTAATATTTGAAATAGTAATTCGGATTTAATGACACATTTTTTTGTAATTTCCAATTCTGTAATATTTGATAAGTTGACCATCTTCTTTAAATATTCTATTTTTAATTCGTACTCATCGTCTTCATCACGACGATCACGGGGATAACGACTACTTGCTAAACTTAATGATTGAACATTTCGAAAATACCATGATGAATCATCTGTAATTGCATTTGAAAATAAAGATAAAGACTTAACATTATCAAATTCATTTAAATCATATGTCGATGAACTATTGTATTTCTTCATAGTAGATGTTAATGTATAGTGAGTGGGTGTGTATGGTACAGTATAAACGGATGCTCTTCCGTCATCGATTACATAATTGATATACCAATTATTTTGATGCCAAAAATCAGTTTGAAATGGTGAAAGCTTGATCAATATCTTATCGTAAGATTCAGAATAGCGACAACTAAAGTTAAAGTTGAATACACGTAATAGTGGTAATGAAGATTTGATGAGATGTTGCCATCGATCTGCATCAATCATATTGTCTGCATTGTCATCATAGATTGAAAAGATTTTCAAGTTTGGAACACATTTTAACAACAGTTCAAAACGTTCAAAAGAAGTCGAAGAATAATTTAGATGTAATTGTTTTAAATGAACAGCACATATCTTACTAGAATCAGATTTCATATCATAATCACTACACATGTCGATTTTTATATATTTTAACATCGATGTATAATTCAATAGTGTTAGTAATTCAGATAAAGTACACAAATAAATTCGTAATGATGTAACTGACGATGTTTCATAAATAGATGTTGGAAGATAGTTTCCTAATGTTAACACTTGTATTTTCGATTTAGATATAGTCTGTGCGTCTATTCTCCATCCAGGAGCATAAAATCGATATAAATCAGGTAATAAGGTTAACATAGATGAGACTTGTTCAATACCATCATAACCCAAATTAATAAAGGATAATGATCGAAGGTGAATAAATTCATTTAATGGAAATAATGAAAAAAATGATTCAATCTGTTTACATGTATCTATATTTGATAATTTTAAATAGATGATGTTTCGTTTTATTTTCGGATTTATTCGTATTGTTTGACAAAATTCATTAAATAAAGGCTTTTTAATTTGTTCAAAATTGAGATGTAAATGAATATTTCGAATAAGTATATACAACCGATAGTTTAATCGATCAAATGAATAAAAGATATCGGGTGCATTGAGATATTGAAAGCATTCAACGAATACTTCATTTGGTAATTGTTCAAATTTCATCCTGCTCAATATTTTATCTAGAATATAACAAAGAATAACAACATGTTCTATGTTATAGATAGTTTATGGGTAAAAGAAAGAAATGATTTAACTTGTTCTTCTAAACTGTACATGAGCCATTGGTTTAGCTTTAACTATATTCTTTGTGAAGATTCAATACACAGAGACATCTTTTTATTATAGTTTGTAATTTATCAAACATTAGCTGGGTGTCGGTGTAAGGGGTAGAGCAGCCACACTCACATCTATCCACTCTCACCCACATTGACCGACCCTCATTCACACCCACACTCATCTCTGTAGTAGAATGGATTTTGTAAATAATTATCTTTATTAACAAAATGAAAAAGTCACACAAATTGCTGGAGTAATTCAAAACAAAACAAAACAGTGAATAGTTCAGTTATCATTCTATTAGTTCGCTTGGTCTTTCCCCGTATGCATTTCTTTATGATAATATTGGTAATTTCTCTCAACCATTATCAATGATTGAATATCATCTTCTGTAATAGTATCTCGGAACCATTTAAAATATTTCTTTACTAAGCTGGCAGTATCTGATGATTGATCATCGATGATTTCATCGTTTACATGAGTTTCAAATAGGCTGAAAGAGGGTCGGATGTGATGTGACTGAGTACTTGAATTCGAACGTCGACGACATACACGGCACATTAAGAAATATAAAATAATTCGTACTATTGTTTTCAATTGAAGATGAAAAATTTCATAATCAAAGAAGAGTTCATACATCATCTTATTCCGTAGAAGTGTCGCCTGTGTTTTCAATGTTGGAATTTCTCCCAAAGCCAAACCTACATGAATATATTGAATGAAGTAGAAAAATATTGAAAGTATGAACATACCAATCAACATATTTGTCATAAGAATAGTTAGAATAATTTGAGTTAGAATGAAAACAAAATAGACGACAGGATAATACATAACACCAGTTGGTGGATTATAAAGTCGACTTTCATATCCTAAATCGAATAGACTCAATGCTGTGCGAAAAATTGCTTCAAATGGAGTCCCATAAACAGTTTGATATTGTAATAGCATATAATAAGTAAAACCAAAACCACAGAAGAGTACCATTAAAAGAGGTATTGCTCGAAGAAATTTTAAAAGGATTACATTGAGCATGACAACATATAGACCAATATCCATCCAAGGAATATAACGCATATATGAAAGGAATACCAACCAAGATAATAGAAGACCAATTGAACCCTACAAAGAATAAATGTGAATTATAGAAAACTATTTAAAATACAATGTTTACTAGCTCCCATTGAATTGGACATCGAAAGTTAAGAGAACTTTGCCATGAATTATCGTCTCTGATACACACGTATACCAATACTAGAGCAAGTGCTTCTGTATAGTATGCTATTTTACGAATAAAACGTGGAAATGAAGCTAATATAAAAATTCCATTTTTAATCACAAATATAATTAATAAAACATCGAGCATCAATAAATATCTTTCTTGATTTGTCGTCTTTCGTGCATCAGTATTTCCTGATTCGATTAAATAAATTCCTACTCGTCGACAGACGTCACTATTGAATCCATAATCCCACTCGATGTTTTGACCTGAAGCATTTCCAGATGAATTATAAAGATCATAGTAATGTTGTGGATGAATTGTTTGAAGAACAACAATAGTATACAAAGCCATAAACATAATATAGCTAAGAAAGGATAAGAGAAGTATCCAGCGACTAAATCGCCGAAATTTCGCTTTGCGTAATGCCAAACATAATGGGTGTGTTATTAATTTTTCTTGGCTACATTGTGACATCAGCATTAGAGGATGATTACGAAGTAGCGTGTATGCACTTGGTGTATATGGATGACGACGATCAGGTATGCTTACCTTAGTTAATATAGATTTATACCATTTGCTCAATTTTGACCCAGGCTTGTCAACAAGGTCATCTGAAAAAGAATCGATAATCAATAACTTTACAATCAAGCAATATTTACCGAACTGCCAATCACAAATATTGTAATGATCATCAATAAATGTGTAGTCATATTTAATTAAATGTTTCGGTTGATCAGCATCTCCAATAATCGTTGTAAAATGTTTATCAATAAGTTCATAGGCAATTTCCGGCATAGATATGATCAACCGTCGCATAGGCGTAATGGGTACATCACTGTCTTCATATTGAACACTTTCCATTAAAGTACGCCATTCGGGATATTCCAATAGACGTTTGACAATTTCATGATGGTGTCTTGCGATAGCAATATCAAGACAATTGTAACCTTTGGCTGTTCTTATTGTAGGATTGGCATCTGTATAATCAAGTAGATACCGTACAACGTCAATAAAGCCTCCTTCGCAAGCTCCATACAATGGTGTCTGTCGAGTACTTGCATAAGGATTAATTGAAATCTGATGCAAAGTAGTAAGATATTTAACAATATCCAGACTACCTATATATAGAGTAGAATAAAGACAAAGCTTCGCTAATGATGTGAACAAATCTATGTTTACCGTTATAACATGCTATGTGTAGGCATGTCATTTGATTTTGATCTTTTAATTGATCAAGTATTTTCGTCCATTTGCTCGAATTAGGTTGTTCTGACAATAGTTTTTCCATAAATGATTTTCTGTTATATTTTGCACATTCAAACAATGGTGTTTGTCCGAGCCAATTCCGTGGTTCGGTTACTCCATATATGTTATTTTCTTCCTTACCTTTCGAACTAGAAATTTTCAACTCCCTGCCACGTTTTAATAAATATTCAAAAATTTCTTCGTTCTTCATTCTAGCAGCAATATGAAGTGGAGTATTTTTATCACTGTCACCTGCTTGAAGTAACGTCTTAAAACACATAGAATCGCGTTTGAGTATAGTGTTAAAAATTTCCAGATATTTACTATGCCTATACATTATGCTATATATCATATGATAATTGAAATAAAAACTGTCTCGCATTCAAATACATACATGGTTTTGCCCTTTTCATTTTCGACGGGTAATGATGTCAATTCACTTTGTTCAACACAAATATGTAATACATTCATTTTTCTACTATTCTGCGTTGGTTGACAAATATATTCTCTCCAATATTTGACGTTTTCAATGGCATACTTGATAAATCCATTGTTACCATAATGAGCGGCAATGTGCATTGGCATGTAACCTTCCGCACTTATGCGTCCCCAAGCATCTGTACAATATTTGGTGTTTATTTTATGCGAAATTTTATCGAGTTCACCATTGTTTTCACTACTATTGGCTTCAACAAAAACTTTCCGATTGTTATTGAATTTTGCAGCGAGATGCAGTAAGTATTTGTATGTATCTGTTCCCTGTAAATCATACATAATAATATTAAAATTGATAAAAATATCGACTATCTGTAGATCGATCATCAAACCTACACAGCATATCAGATTCTCAAAGCTTTAAAAATATTTTGTCTAAAAATCTCCATTAGTTGATGGTTGAAAAACCAAAATTTTTCATTTTATTACTTGTACTCAGTAGGCCAATGTAACTAAATGGCTAGTTTGGAAAAATTCTCATGAAATAATCGATCCCTTGATTTTCCTAAGACAATTTTATCATGAATGATTCTCATTCCTGTTTACCTGGAAAGAGCACGATTCGTGTTGGCGATAAATTTTATCGAAAATCTTTTTATTATTTGAACGAACGCCATATTCCAGTTCAATACCACAAGAATCATGTTCTTCTGAACATTTATACTTTTTGAGAAGCTCTTCAACTGTTCGCTCAAAAGATCGTTGTGCCGCAACACAAAGAGCTGTCAAACCGTCGGTATTCTTCTGAAGAAGAAATTTACTATCCAAGCTTTGTCGGTTTTTGAATAAAAATTCCAACATTTTACAGCAGTGTGTATCATCTTCAGCTCGACGACAGATAAAATGAAGAACTGTTGCTTTAAGCATAGTCTTAACCTGAAAAAATAAAAGAATATGGTTTTTCTTCATATAATATGTAAAGAATATACTTCAACATCCGCTTTCAATTTAATTAGTCGTTTCATGTAATCCCATCGTCCATGCAAAATCGCATGATGAAGCTATGAAATAAACAAAACACTATTCTCTATATGAGACACTATTACGTACATACAGCTGTTCGATTTTCATCGTCACGTGCATCGATTGCTTTCATGTTCCCCCTGTACACATCATATAAAAGATATTCGATCAGTTTCGGTATGTTGCTCTGATCAGTACTTGATGAAGCACTATTTTCTGTTGAAGACTCCCAAATAGATTCTGCTTGAGCCGCCAAAATAAGTATTGTATCATAATCAAACGTACGAATATTAATATCTACGTATAGTATGAAATACATTCAATATTCTAATCATTATCACGAAACTTTTTCTTCTAAATGTGAATTTAAGTATGAAAGAAGCTATTGGCGAGCTTTTAGTTCTATAGTTTGAATGAGGAATAGATATGTGTAGATAAAAAACAATAGATCAAAAGAAAACACATCAAATTGTATCAGAAAAAACGTTCAAAACTTGCTTGCTTACCGCAGTGAAAGTCTTTGAAAAGCTTTTCAAACATAAATTGATTATTGTTTAAGACGGCGTGATGAATAGGATGAAGTAAGTTTTTATCACACCGTTGAAAAAACTTTCGTTTTCTTTGGTTCAAACAAGCAAAATGAGAATATCGATCATTTAGATATTCATTTAATTTCTTTTCAAACTTTGGCCAGTCAGAGGCATTTGTTTCCGGAGTCCGAATAATCTATATAATAAACAATTTTACATTAGACTTACAGTTGTAGAGAACAAAGATGTATAAGTGTGAACTAACCCCTATTAATTCATCAAATAGATCGGATTTACGAGATCGGTTGCCTGCTCGACGATTGATGATATGCATATCATCTTGTTGTTCACCAATATTTTTCAAGCTTATTTCTTTCAGCACGGGATTTTCTAATGTTTTTATTGATGATAAGACACTGGAGTTATCTCCATTAGAATTAAATGGTTCAACCGGTGTCATTTGAATAAGCGTTGATTTGGTTTTCATCGTGAATATGTATACTGAATGCTTTTTAAAAATGATATCATACGATCATCTTAAAAACTCAAAAGATATCAAAATGAAACCAAAATATGTCTCTATCTTGATGGTGTGGGTATAGATATTATATCTATCTATGATCCGTACTCATCCACCTTCAAGAATGAGAAAATGACGAAGTTGTGCGCTTTTCATCTCTCATATACTGCATATCCTTGAAAGAAAGAAACTGAAAGATAAACGACCACATAAATTGTTGACTAAGCGAATCTGGTTGTGAGTGTGGATATTATATCTACAGATCAGTCTCATTCATCTACCTTCAAGAATGAGAAAATGGAGAAGTTGTACGCTTTTTATCTCTGATATACTGCTCTGTATGTCATACATATTAGCCGTTTTTATCTCTTACAAATAAATAATTACAAAAGAAACGGTTCAACTTGAGAGAAGAAAACGAAAGATATAGAAGTGCCCTTGAAAGAAACAAATTGAAAGCTAAGAGACCATATAAATTGTTGGCAAAGCGAGTTTGAGTGTGGGTGGAAGATATGCTTACCATTGTAATTATATATGTAATTGTAATATTTGTCGTTAATGATAATAATCAAATACAAAAAGAAATATAACTTCGGATTAAAACACATACACTTGCTCTGATTGTTTAATTTGTTTATTTTTTAATAGAATAGAAACAATAGAAGGACCTATGTTATTACAACAAATCCTACGGATATCATTTCAAAAGTAAATAACATAGAAAATCAAACGATAGTTAGAAGAAAAAATACGTCACGAGAGTGCTTATTCACACGTAACGATGATTGTCAACTGATTGAGTTAAATAGACGTTTTGTCATTCTTCGAATATTCACAGATTTTACCTCGATTAAATGCAAAATTTATCAATAGAAAGAAAAGATATCAACATAACTGATATATGGATGTAGTTGTGAGTGTTAGTGAAACTAGAAATGGAGTAAACCATAGCCACACTCTCACAGTGACATTCACCTTCAAAGTAAAAGTGAAACGAAAACTACTTGAGTTTTACATTTTTTTACATTGTAACAAAGAAATATAAGTAAACAAATGAATTTATTATGAACATTTGAAAAAAAAAGAAAAAAAGAAAAGCGACCCTGGCAGGACTCGAACCTGCAATCTTCTGATTCGAAGTCAGACGCCATAGCCATTAGGCCACAGGGCCGGTGATATATGAAGTGAGAAATTCCTTAATCATCTTTCTTCCTTACATATGACATAGTTCACATATAAAAGTGACAAGCAGAACTATGATTCAGACAAAATAAAACTAAGTTTAAAAGACTTGTTATTATGGGATAATTTTAATAAATTAATGAAATTTTGTTGTTTTAATTTCATAAGTCAGGAAGATGTAATTTCGTCCTGAAATATTCATTATTATATCGATGTAAGTAAATATAAATAGATATAAACGCTGATCAAAAAAAAATCGTAAGATCGTGTCTATTTTTCACACTTTACCACAGAGATAACTCTGACGCAAACAATCTAATAAAACACGTTTCAACATATTTGGAAAATTTACAAACTACCAACACTCAATATTACAAATGTTTTTATCAATTACTGCGCTAAACAGTTAAGTGTTATATTCATAAAGAAAATCAATTATCAAAAATTGTTGTTTTAAGCATAATAGAGTTTAAACTTCAAAATGTATTAATTAACAAACAAATAAAGTAAAGAAAAGAACACACATTAAGTGAATTTTATTTCTAAGTAACACAAAAAAACATTTAACGCTTGATTATGAATAATATCTTCAAAATACAATGAATATGATTAGAGCTGAGAATCTCAAGAGAACAATTAATCTTTAAGATACTTTCCAGCCTTTGTAAAAATCCAATGTTGGCCAAGATAATCAACAGCGGTAGTAGACATTGTAAGGTTATGAGTACGACCTACAACATCCAAGGCCATGTTTCTGCCTGAAAAGTCGTTGCTTAATCTAAATGATCCATCTTTCAAATGTGTCAGATGCCAATATTGTCCTGAGAAATCACCTATTTTGCTCATATGTACTTTGTTTCTCATTTTATCGTTATGGATATCAAGGGCCGTGCTATCGTCAACAAAATTTAGTATTCTGTATTTATTGTCACCCAAACGAATAAAACGCCAGTATTCAGTACCGTAGTCATGGATAGAATCCATTTTGACGCCGTCTTCCATGTAACCAACGATTGATACAAACGTAAGATCCGGACCTAAATATTTATTTGTCAATCGATAGACGTAGGAGGTGGCGATTCCAAATCGATCTTCTTTGACATCTTCGCCGTCAAAATGCTCATTGAGACCTAAAGTTTAAAAAAAAACATCGTGATATCTTTTGTTGAAGTTGGAATGCGCTGTAACAAAACTTGAAATCCATATAAACTGACTTAGGTACTACTTGTATCTTTCTCATTTTAAAGTGTCCGATGTTTTGATATAACAATCTAGCTGTCGCATCAATTTTTATCTTCTCACGACGTCTGTATTCGAGCTTTATGTCTGATTATCTTTCTCAATATAGTTGAGAATGATCGATGAGTTAGTACAACCGTAAGCATGAAGTTATTTTGATGTTAACACTTAGAATATTCTATCTATTATTGAAGATCAATCGTAAAAACTATAGAAGAATTTTAAGTCCTTTAGAAGCGTTATGAAATGACAGACACTTTATTATGTTTCAAATTACTTACCGATAACACGAGTAAAAGCCAATTGTAAGAATGGAAGTAACATCAATACTGCAAACCATTGCGAGACCATTATTCAAATAAATTTGATGATTTGAGTCGTTTAGTTATTATTTAGTTGACTGATTCAATTGAATGAATAATGCATATTTATAGGAGATGGAAAAATTTGATACAGATCATTTCGATGTGTTGATAATTGATTGCAAAGCCAATTATTAACACCTTCTCTTAATTCAATTAGAAATGCATTTTATGTCTTTTTCTGTTCGTCTGAAAAATTCAAGCTGTGTACATTCATCGGTCATTGATGGATGTGAAACATAAATCAATTAACATTTCATGAATAAAAAACGAGAAACTTAATATCGAGAGACATGATCAAGTATATTTCCTGTTGTTTATTTCCTTCTTTTTTGATCACAATGAATATTCAGATGCTGAACATCGATTACTACAGCCAATAATTTCGTTAACAAATTTATCAAATAAAAAGGATATCGGTATTTTCACAGTATTATTCTAATGTGCGTAGAAATCATGTCGTTGTGCTTAGATTCTATCGGTAATGTGAAATAAAATCGCTTAACATCGTCTAATTCATAATTCTGACCAATTTCTATATCATTTTTACAAGTTGTATTATTAAGATGAACTAAGGGATCCTAGTTTCTTTATACATTAGATTAATCAAAAATTAAAATGCAATAAAATTTATCATTACAACAACATTCGTTTTTGATCATATAGTTGATATGTGTTAGTTATACTAATGTTCTATTCGATCAGAAATTGATGAAGAATTTCTACTTAAAGTAATGAATACAATAACATCTTCTTTAGATTCACGATTCTGCTTAATGAATTTCCATCTTGGCCAATAAATAAATATTAGATAAAATAGAAAAAAGTTCAGCTCGATAGAATTTACAAAATTTACAAGAGATAGAATAATTTAAGACTTGTGCAGATACGAATCACTGCTTGAAGTGATCATAGGATGACTAAATCAGTATAAAAATAATTTATCCAAGAACGAGTATTTATTCGAGGTTCGTTCGCAGTAACTACAAAAGTAAATGTATCTATGATTTATTATTCAATGAACCAGACCAGATTAAGGTATACAATGGAATAAACAAGCAACAGAACCTAATAGTATATGGCATTCTTCTTCTGCTTTAGTAACATTTATCCACTATATTAGTTCTTTTTCTTACCAATCATAGGTCCAGTCTTACTGTTCGGAGGAAAGGAAAAATTTTACAATGACTGTGCATCGGTTACAAACAGTGACCTCTCATATATATATATAGATACACAAATAAGAATGTAATAAATGTCAGTGATACAACGTTTAAGAATATATCTTTGCATCGTATAATCTTGATTCTTTTTTTTAAAGATTCGATTTGAATTATACGATCAATGCGTGCTGAGATATTTTCAAAATACTGACTGTCGCAATCATTCTCACTATTCCTTAATCTAAGCTTTGTAATTATGTATGTTTATTTAGAAGAGAAAGTTATCATCCTACATTGCAATGAAATACGAATCAGAAAGCAAAGAAATAGCTATGATTGGTGATACTGTAACATCACTAATAGATGATGCTGGAATCAAGCGTACTCGCAGAAATCTTTTGATCATACTATGGATTTGCTTTGTAAGTATTGACTAAATAAGATTCAAAGAATTCTTAATTTGAAAATATCTTTTAGGTCTTTTCAATATTCGATTTGATTAGTCGTACAGTCAATTATTCAAAAATTGGTTATTATTCATATTCTCTCTTGATTGTACACATTATTGCAGTTATTATTACAATAATATTCTATGCCTTTGGATTATTTGTTACTCATTATTGTTCTCAAATTGGTTTACGTGTGGTATGTATTATAAAAATCAATATAAAACACATAGATAAATTTTGATTAATATAATATTTGATAAATACTCGAACTGTAAATGACAACATAGGAATGGAAATTGTCTAATTTTAATTAGATTATAATATATCATCTAAATAAGGTGGTCATATCTTCTGTTTAAAACTAAATTAAGAAGATAATTATTAGATTCTGTCAAACTGTTTTAAAAAATCTGATGTTCATTCGAAAGTATTAATAAAAGCGATAATGTTAGATAATTTTTTCAATTCAATATCAACCCTAAGTTCGCAGTGTTTAATCGTGATGTTCTACTAAGTGTCTTTAAAAACTCATTAATATACTTCGTATTTTTTACTTTTAGTTTAAATGGCTTGCTGTTTTGATGTTGATACTTAATGGAATAGCAGTTATTATCATGTTAATCTTCTTTATTGGTGGCCTATCTGGAATCAGTATTGTCGGTGCTATTGGACCAATCTTGTGGTTGATTTTAATATTATACCTAATCATTTCGTTTATCTTAATGGTAACTGTTTTCTTTAAATTATATATTTCATAATTATCTATGAATTTCTCTTTAGATCATTATTATGAAATGGTCTTTTAAATTGGCTAGATTAGTTGCTGTCAAGAATAAAAAAGAATCTCAATCAATCTAGATTTTTGTCTATTATATCTTTTTTTCAAAAAATTAATTTAATCAGTTCATTCTCTGTAGATTTAGATTCGTTTTTTTTGTTACATTTACTACCTGATTGAGATAGAATAAATCTCATGTTATAAAAAATAAAAATCAGTTTCCATACGCACGGCTGGATCCAAGATAAAAAGACATGTTCTTAGAAAGGACGGGAGTGTGGGTGTGGTTACTTACTTTACATTCAATCCCACACCCTGTACAGATAGAAATTCATTTGTTATAAAATCTAGTTTAGATTTAATTAAACAAAATTAGTTGAATCATAGAAAGATCATATTTATACACCAACACTAATTATTTATAAATTAAAATAAAATGCAATAGGTTTATCATTAATTAGAATATTATTAAATATCAAAAAACTTAAAAAACGAATTAAATCAATGTTTATTACAACAATTAAATTTTATATTAAAATAACATAGTGGTCAAGCAATTATTTTACTGTTATGGAGAAACTAATATTTGGTTTGAAAAACTGATTTGAAGATTTTAAAATCGAGTGTTTAGAAGCAATGATTCTAACACATTATAGAATTTAATTCAGCACATTTATAAAAGTTTATAATATCTTTTTACTAGTATCAGAATATTTGTATATTGTCTAAATGATATTATGACATTGTTATACTCTATCGAATAAACCATCTTTTTGAATCCTTAATTATGATCAGCTAATTAAGACGTTCTGCTGTATGTCGATGATTATTTCAGAATGATGGTTTTATAAATTAATATGTTTATGATATAATAAAAACTATACTTGAGTTTGATCAAGGGTGAGCAAACTGATTTCCATACTAGAAATCACGAAAATAAAATTAGAAATCAAGACATCAATTTGTTCCTCCTAGTCTTACCCTCAAGGATGATATACAATGACGTTGCTTTTTTCGTTGACTATGCCTCGCTATAACATCGCAGAATATTTCATTTCTTTCGTTCTCCGCTATGTATTATGAGCAAATACTCACGACATATAATGGAGAACGCAAGAAAAAAAGAAATATATAGGTACGCTATTGACCTCTCATCATTACGATTACATTTTCTGCTTGATCATAATTGTATAGGCACATTTTTTTCTTATTTAAATAAAGCTATTCTCACATTTGAATTCACACAAAAATGTCGTCGAAACAAATTAACATATTCTTGACTGGCGTTACCGGTTACATTGGAGGTTCCCTTTTGGTTAATCTTCTTCAACATCCAAATGCCTTGAACTTCAAAATAACCGCTCTGATTCGCGGTGATGAAAGTAGAGTGAAAAAACTTGCGTCACTCGGAGTTACTCCTCTGATCGGGTCGAACGATTCACACGATATTATCGAAAAAGCAGCAAGTGAATCACATGTCGTTATTCATCTGTCCAATTCGGCTGATGATCTTCCGTCAGTTAAATCGATTCTTAGTGGTTTGAACAAACGAACTCAGATAACAGAAAAACCAGTTATTTTGATCCATACTAGTGGTACTGGTGTTCTTGCTGAAGATGTTCGTGGTAAAAAAGGATCGAATAAAGTCTATAGTGATCTTGATCCTGATCAGATCAACAGTTTACCCGACGAACGGATACATCGGAATGTCGATCTCTTAATAATCGACGCAGCTAAAGCCAATCCTCAACTGAAGAGTGTCATCGTCCTTCCACCCGTCATTCATGGCATTGGTACTGGGCCGTTCAGTCGCGATACCATGGTACCTTCGTTACTGATCCGCACCGCCATCAAACAAGGCAAAGTACAAATGATTGGACCAGGTGAATCAGCATGGAACAGTGTTCATATTGCCGATTTAATCGATGCATACATTATTCTTCTCGATCAACTTCTCGCTGTCTATGGACCTGATGCCAAACCTAATGCGAAGTCCTCTCCATATTTGACTACAGGACGTGAAGCTTACTATTTTACTGACGACGGACTCTATTCGGGACGAGAAGTCTTTGAAAAAATTGGTGTAGTTCTTCACAAAAAGGGTGTTCTCAAATCATCCGAAGTCACTAGCTATACTGATGATGAAGTAAAAAGTAATCCATTTGGTCCATTTAGTTGGTTTGTGGCAAGTTATTCGAATTCCAAGTCTGAAAGATTACGTAAAATGGGATGGAAACCACATCGACCTAGTCTGCTCGACAGTCTTGAAGAAGAGGTGGATGCTCTGAAGAATGATACGAAGAATTGATACTCTTCGAATACAAATGTTTCAAATACTTCATCTCATGAATTATTTTCTTTTCATAGTTACTCTGTTTACTTCTATTGTTCGTATTTCAATAAAATTCTTCACATAAAAGAAAGCTGAGTAGATGGTTGGGTGTGGGTGTGGTTACTTTTACTCTACTTCCACAACCTCACATCCACACTCTTATTTGGAATAGATAATCTTTTATCTTTTCTTTGAAAAACATATAAATAAATTGAAAGAATTATAAAAAATGAATTGTGTATTAAAATCATAGTTTCAATATTTCTTTCGATTATTTAAACATTTTGATCGGTAAATAAAAATGTATTATATGCTATTATTTTAGCAGGAGTATAATTTTCTAACTTATTCATTCGATAAAATATGAGTTCGAGCAAGAGCTGATCACCAGTTTCTCTCAGTTGACGAGCTTGAACTATCATATCCCTAGATGTGAATCGTTCCGTTTTTTCTTCTGTATATACATATATATTAAAAGTAAAATTAAAAAAATACAAAAAAGCTAGATTATTAATACATGGATATCTATGCTTGAAGATAAATGTAAAAATTATGAATTTTTGTTGAGATTTTAAACGTATCTTGTATATAACTTTTCGATTTAAATCCATATTTCATTTTCACCAAATGGTGAAAAATCTTCTTCCACGGTATAATTCATTCAAATATCTTTTTGGTTTTTCACCAAACATTAGCAATTGACTACACGGTCAATAAACACTAGATTAAATAATTATTTACATAAGGGAGTTATTCAAATATCTTTGTAACCTTCAAAGAGAAATTTGTAATTATCTACTTGACTAGTGAACACTCTATAAAACTATTATTTATACCAGGACTTCACATTCAAATATGTCTGTGAGTTTAAAAGAGAAATTTGTAGTAGATTGATTGTTCAGTGAACATGAAATAAAGTAATCATTCATATAAAGGAGTCATTCGAATATTTTCGTTTCTCTGAACGAAAAATTTGTAGCTTACTGCTTCTTCATTGAACACACGATAAAAGCGTTACTCCTAATAGACTCCATTCGAGTATTCTCGCTACTTTGAAAGGCAGACATATTGTTCTCTACTTCCAATGTAAACACTTGATAAAAGAATTATTCGTAAGAAGACTTGATTCGATTATTTCTGTTGCTCTAAAATATAAATTTGTATTTTATTGCTTCTTCCATGAACACTGAATAGATGAACTATTCATATCAGAATTGTATTCAAATATTTTTGTGACTTTGGAAGACAAATTTAAAGCACACTGTTTCCACAATGAACGCGCAATAAAAGAGTTATTTATAAAATGATTTGATTCAAATATTTTTGTTACGTTGGAAGGCAAATTTGTAATTAACTACATTTCTCGCGAACACTGGGCAAAACAGTTGTTCATAGCAGAACTTTATTCGAATATTTTCATTACGTTGAAAAATAAACTTGTAGCTTGCTATTTCTCCATTGAACACTTGATAAAAGAGTCATTTGTAAGATCAGAACTTTATTCGAATATTATTGTTACTTTCAAAGACAAATCGGCAGTTGACTATCTCTCACATAAACACTCGATAAATGCATTGTTCATATTAGAACTTCATTCGAATATTCTCGTTCCGTTAAAAGACAAATTTGTAGTTGACTACTTTACCCATGAACATTTCATAAACTAATCATTCATACCAATACGACTTGATTCAAATATGTTTGTGACTATATAAGACAAATTTATACTTCGAAGCTCCTCCCATGTACACTCAATAAAAGAATTATTCGTAAAAAGACTTTATTCGAATATTTTCCTTACGTTGAAAGGCAACTTGATAGTTCACTGCTTGATCAGTAGACACTGGATAAAACAACTATTCGTATCAGAACTTCATTCGAGTATTTTTCTTACTTTATAAAGTATGTTTGTAGTTAATTGCTTCTTTCAAGAACACGAAATAAATGCATTGTTCATACTAGGACTTTATTCGAATATTTTCGTGGAGTTAGACAAAACTATAGAGTTAATAACACTACATACGATTGAGTAGAAATGAATATACTGTGCAGTAAGAATTTATCTGCATATTCTGGTAATGTAAAATCGAGATTTGAAGACTGCTTGTGTCATACAAAAATGCAATGAAAGCGAATGAGTTGAATATTTATCTATGAAGAAATCGTGGAGTGGTGGTTGTAGCATAGGATCGAAACGATGGTGTTCTTTGTCGTCCATGTTGAATGCCTCACTGGACATTGAGACGAATATCATGATCAGAAGTAAAGAAACCAGGAAATTAACATTATTCATGTTGGTGTTATATGAGCTATTATAGAAATACGACTGAATAAACTATCGATAATAGGTCTGTGTTTATGGTATATTTGTGTATAAAAATATCTCTGATTTCGTATGCAGTTGTATCTGTTTATTATCATTGTGAATATGATAAAAAAATGGTTGTCTTTGATTCATCGATACGTTTGATTTCGTAAATCACATGTCCAAACAATATAAAATATCGCTCTTTTACCTTTTCTTTTGTATTTGAATAGAAACAAAGAATATCGATATAATAAGCTTGTTAATATGAGAGAACGAAAGAGAAAAATCGACGTTGAATTTGAATACAATTCATGCGTAACATTGGTGAAAGAAAGTAAAAGATGAAGCATGGATTTAGATTGTGTATATCAAAAGACTTCAGCTCAACAATCAAAAATAATAAGAATTTGTTATGATGATATTCAAACAGGAGTGGCATATATAACTGAATGTGCTCACAATATTTTGAGTGTAAAAATTCATCTCTTTTGTTTATTTTCAAAGGAATTGATTTTTGTTTAGGCTGTTAATGGTTTATTACAACAACGAACAACTATTCTTGATTTAGATTTTGAATGAGCTACTCTAAATAGAATTATATTTTTTCTAATTTTTATTTATGTAATATTTTATTTAAATAGATTTATTTGCTCTTAAAAACGATTTTTCATAGAAAACAATTGAAAAAGACCGAAATAATTATTATCAAAAACAAATGGCTAATAAGATAAATAATCAAATACTCTCAGTACTTACTTAAATATTAGTCAAAACTTTTTTCAATTAAAACAACATCATTTTCATCTTGATCAAATAGATTTATTCAACAAAGTGGTAATACTCAAATTCATATTCCATTTACTTTTAATTTCACTTCGAGTTTGTTGTTTTCTTTTTATCATTTTCCTCCATTCTACTTTTTAGTAAATTAACAATATTAGGTCGTTATGGAAATAAGATTCCTCTTCGAACAAATCTTATTGAACAAATATAATTAATTTAGAGATTTGATAGTTTAAATGAAATATTTTATTTTCAATTTATATTTGACGAATGATAAATTGTATAAATATTTTCTTAATAATGAACAAATACATTTCGTCATTAATTAATTAATAATCTACCAATATCAAATTAATTATTTGATTTTACTTCGAATTAAGAATTAAGAACTTATACAACATGTTATTATTTAGATAAAAATTCTATTTGGAGAACAGATCTTTTAGAAAAAGAAAACTATTAATATTTAATAAAAAGTTGGATCTGAAACGAATCATTATCAAACTCAATGTTTTTCAAATCATATAATAAGAAACAATTTATTCAACTATTACTTGTATTTACATATTTTATATATTAATAGTTATATATACATGTTATAAAGATAAAAAAGATCTTAAAAAAATTAGGTGTAACATCATTATCTGATAATTATTCTGCTGATCAATATTTTTGTCAAATTCAAAAGTATAATAAAAGAAATAGAATTTTATATAAAATATTTCAAAAAAAATTCTTTGATAGGTTCATTTTATTCCTGCAGATGAAGAAGATGAAACAGCAGTTCCTACTTTTTTTGATCCTCATAGAAAAATTTTGCAACGTGATAGAATTGATGCTTTTATTATGACTATTCCAAAGTAAAGAGTTTCATTTATTAAAAGGATTTTTTAAAAGATATTACATACGTATTTGGCATGATAATAGTGGTCAATGTGATAAAACATTATGGTTTACAGACAATGCAAAAATCTTATTTTATATGTCAACAATGGTTTGCTGAAGAAAAAAATGATGGACGTGTAAATATTCTTTTCATAATTTATTAAAGGATTATTCTAAAAATAAAATTTAGATTGAACGAATTTTCCTATATTCGATCAAAACAAGCATATCATAGTATAACAGAAGGTCATCTTTGGTTTTCAATATTTTCTCGTCTACCATCAAATAAATTTACACGTGTCGAACGATGTACTTGCTGTTTTTTATTATTAATGATTTCTTTTTTTACCATTAATTAAATAAAATTAGATTAGTATTGGTATAACTGTTGAAATTCTTTCATTTGTTCCAAGTTTATTTATTTACTTTAGTATAAAATTAAATAAAAAGAAACGATCACGATTGATGTTTTCTTGGTGGTGTTTATTTTTTGCTTATAGTTTATCATTTATATCAGTTTTGATATCATCATTTTTTATAACTATTCGTGGTATTCAATCTGGTGATTTGAAAACACAAAAATGAATAACATTACTTATAAGTGGTTTCATTTCATCAATACGTTTAATTCAACCATTAAAAGTAAGTAATTATTTTGTTTTAATAATGAAATGATTTAGCTGAATATTTAGATGATAATGATGATTTTGTTTTAAATCATAATGAAGAATATATACATTCAAGAGAATTTTCATTTACTTATCATTCACGAATTTGTAATAATCGTTTAAATGAAGGTGAATTAGCTTGAGCTCGTGATCGACGTTTAAAAGAAATACATATGTGGACAATTATTCGAGAAACTATATTCTATTTATATTTTCTAATATTGATATATCTTATCACTTATGTGGGTGTGGGTGTGTGTGTGAGTGTGGGTGTTTGTGGGAATAGAAAGAGTTCACATCCACACCCACACCTAGTTTTCACGTTTATTTTAAAATAATTTTGTTTATTTTTTAAAGGTACATCCGGTTCACAAACGACTCAATTAAATTCTCCGATGTCATTAGCAATGGGAGGAAATTATTTATATATAGCTGATTATGGAAATAATCGTATTATTCGATATGATACGACAACAAAGACACCTGATGTTTATATTGCATATGATACAACACCATTACGAAATACATATGTACATGCACCAATATCAATTCGATATCATGCACCAATAACTAGTCTTGTTATTGCTCAACAATTAGGTTATAATGTTGTTCGATGGACATTAGGTGGAAAAAATTGGAATTTAATTTGTGGTTCAGTAAGTAGTGAATTAAATGGAACATCTCGAACATTATTCAATAGAATATGTTCAGTTGATGTTGATAGTCAAACAAATACATATGTCGACACACAATAATATATATCCCATCAATTCAGCATAAAACGTAACCGAACCGAAATCGACATCATGTTGGTAAGTGTCGGTTCGAACCGTGCCCATCTCTGATGAGAAATATCAATTAAAAGACGAGGATTGATTTCAAAGGAGATTTTCGACATTCTTACAAATATACACACTTTGTTTCTTCCAACTTTATCGTGCGTTATCGATAGGTAAATATTAAGAAGAAAAACATGACATACGTGCACATGGTTATAGGTAATAAATGAAAACGTAGAAGAAAAAAAGATCGAAAATAAATCAAATGATTCATGAAAAGTGAAATATTCAAATATTGTTGTTTTTATAAAATTAAATCAAATCATAAGATTAATTAATTAAAAAATAATCTTAGTCGATGATTGTTGTCGTTCATTATTATTTAATCTTTCTATTTATTTCGAAATTAGTTTTGCTTTTATCAATGATTGAAAAATTCATTTTTTTCAACATAAATAAACAAAAAGAAAAGAGAAGAAAAAAATTTATACAAACCATAGAAATATGAGTTATAATTAAAATTCGATTTTTATTGGTTCATAGAATTTTTCCTAATTCAACATAAATTATCGATGCAGAAGGTGACCGTGAATGTAGGTAAATAAAGACACTGATTTGCATCCACTCGTCTTCACTCACACCCTCACCCTGGTTTCATATGTCCTAATAAATACATGTAATCTTACAATGAATAATTTGTTTTGTTCACAGTAATCATACTGTATATACAAAACGAGTAATCCAGGTTTTGGATCCCGTCA